TTCAAACCGTAATCTAATACTCACTCTATTCGACACCTCACCTAATCACTCCACAATGTCATCAACTACGCCTTCAATCCACACCAACAATTGCGGCCAACCCGGTTTCCCCATCCCCCCTCCAAGCTTTTCTATGTGACTGTCTTACACCATTTCAATGCGAATCACTTAAAAATCAAAAATGTAACAAGAATGGTCAACTGGTGTCCAATAATAACGTCGCTGTGTCTTACTCTTCGCATATTTCCCATCGCAATTTCAATCAATATTGCCCCGTCCCAATGGGATTCAACAAAGACTATCTTCCTTCGTCTCCTCGCACGGGTCACTGTATCCATGAGATACTACATTACTTCACCAAAAACAACAACACCCACGTCAGTCTCTGCAACATATTCATATGTCTAATGTGCTGCAGCCTACGTACCCCCCGTACAGTCGGCGATCTCTTCTGTTTTTTCCTAAAGCTTGGTGAGAAAATGAATAATGGTAGTGGTTCCCCTAACGTCGCTGAGGCCATCAAAAAGGAAGCCGAGAAAATAACCTGGAGCACTGGTTCCTGCTCCATGACCAAGGCTGCCCATGACCTAGCTGGTAAAAAACACAACGGCACCACCAATCACACCTCCGATGCCACCCTCTACACCCTACATGACAGTGAATGTAACACGGACGTAACCTGTGGCAAGTACCTCGACCCACTTGCCTCGAACATCTATTCCAATTTCATTGCGGATTATGCAGACATATACCTATCACGTATTGTTTACCTCACGGATGTTTTCAAAAAAGGTCTTCAAACGCTATTGGATGACTTCCGCAAACTTCAGTGTAGCGACTGTGGTTGTAAAAACAAGGGTAAAGATTGCCACTATCCCGAGAAACCGAAAATGGAACAGCGCGAACTTTTGAAGCTAAAGTTTCCACCTGCGCAAAACAAACCCTGCTCATGCCCCTCCATCGTTCAATGTCATGGTACTTTGTCCTTACTGTACCAATACGGTTTTGTTTTCTACAGCGCGAGATCATTGAATGGTTACGACAAAACTGGCAAACCCAATCCCCACTGGCTCCGCCAATGTAAACACTTCTGCATTGAACTTCAAAAGTTACTTTTTCAAAGTGAGTTATTTAGAGAACTTCTCGATGCCATCAACCTCTTCCTCTTTTGCATCCGCCAACCCTTCCTCCTGTACCTCCTAACGTTCTGGCTTGTAGCCATTCTGTACTTCAGCTACGGTCTTACAATACCTCTGGACCTCCTCCATATCCGTTCACATTGGAGACGTGCTTTGTCACATCAAATATCCGTGTTGGCGTTATTATCGAAGAAGGCAATGTCACCAACAAAGGTTGGATATTTCACACCATAAGATATCATCACATATCAATCTAATGTCATCAAATCAATATTAGTGTGTATTAGGCAGATTGATGGTTTCACAAAAATTTCATGTTCTACACCCCTTCCGCATGCACGGCACAGATATTCAGATAATGTGTGTGGCTAGCTACCCCATCGAAGATGTGTGGAGAAACACACTACATGGTAGACATCGTAGTGAGGATGAAGACATACAAATAGAACCGTAGGTGAAGTCTGTTGTTGTGTTAAGGCGGAAGACGCCGAGGTTGGATACAATCTATTATGACACTATCGCTACTGGCACTCTAAACAGAACGAGTGTGACATCGACAAGTGATTGAACTAATGTATTTAATTAGTCACGGCACTACCTATGGGTAGTACA